TGTGATGTTGAATGGTTTGCCTTGGATTCGAACTGAGATCATTCTGTCATTTTGGAGATTGTGTCCCAGTACTGCTTTTCCTACTCTTTTACTGACTATGAAGGCTACTCCATTTCTTCTAAGGGATTCTTGCCCACAGTAGTATACCTGATGGTCATCTGAATTAAATTCACCCATTCCTGTCCATTTTAGTTCACTGATTCCTAAGATGTTGATGTTCAGTCTTGTCATCTCTTGTTTGACCGCATCCAGCTTGCCTTGATTCATGGATCTTACATTCCAGGTTCCTATGGAGTATAGATCTTTGCAGCATCGGACTCTCCTTTCACCATCAGATACATCAGCAACTGAATGTCCTTTTGGCTTTGACCCAGTCGCTTCATTCTTTCTGGTGCTACTAGTACTAGCCCTCTGCTCTTCCCTAGTAGCATTGGACACCTTCCGACCTGAGGGGCTCATCTTCCGGCGTCATATCTTTTTGCCTTTTGGTACTGTCCATGGGGTTTTCATGGCAAAGATACTGGAGTGGGTTGCCATTTCCTTCTCCAGTGGATCACGTTTTGTCAGAGCTCTCTGCTATGACCTGTCTGTCTTGGGTGGCCCTGCACGGCATGGCTCACAGCTTCATTGAGCTATGCAAGCCCCCCTGCCATGACAAGGCAGTGATCCATGAAGGAGACATATAGTTGGTGTTGAAAATGCACTTCTTGCTTCAGTTAGTTGTATGCAAGCCACTGCTTTATAGCATTTCGAAGCTGTGATGGAAGGCCCTGACACTTCCTGAGCTCCGTCCGGTGTTTTTAGGGGTATTAAGCAAGCTACAAACTGGGCTCATGCTTCCACCTTTCTATAGGAAACTTAAGTTTTGCCTGGTTTTAGCAAACATACTTCTTTCAAATAAGTTATCTAATCTGTTGTAGATTTGTGCAGTTGTGAGTAAAGGTAGGCATCCATGTTGACTGACACAACATGTTTCCAATAAGGTGACAGTGAAAGTGCTCTCAGTTCCAGGTAGAGCACTTCTTATCAGTTCAACTTTGGATGTTGATGAATCAAGCGCACTGGCTAGATGTATTAATCGGATCAGCACAATATCATGCAGTGAGTCAATCTCGTAGTCTTGTGACTTCTTAAAAAGTGTAAGCTTTTGTTGAGCAGTGTCCATCAGATACATGGTGTAATCCTGAATTGGCAGTCGTTGCATACTTGGTCAAGCCAAAGAGGTACTTTAAATATAGCCAGAAGCTTGTACACACACGATACAATGTTTTTACCTTTTCCCCCTTGGAATGGTTAGCTCTTGAGCCCTGTCACAAGATATTTTTGAAACCCTGAAGTGTACCATGTCAAAAGCTCCCTAATTCATACTAGACTGTGAACAGAAAATTAGATTTCATCTCAGACAATAAAGAACATTCCCATGCATCATATAATCCGGTACTGAAATTATTTTCCATACAGTGTATTTACCTTAAAAAAAAAACACTTGAGTTTAAATTTTAACTATTTGTTCCTGAAAGACAGTTTTGAAAGGTTTTCCTTTTGTGATTATAGTGAATTGTGCAAATACTTTGAAACTGTTTTGTGTCTCCATTTGGTAATATTACAAGGCCTTTGGTTCATAGCATCAGACCCATCTGAGACAGAAAAGCTTTGCTTCCAAGATGCAATACTACGTAAGTTTAGACCAGAAGAAGGCCTATAATTGTCTACATGGCGTTTTTTCAGTCTAAATTTGCATGGGATTGCATCCTTAGCAAGTTTTCAGAATGCTTTGTAAATGTCAGGTTTGCTGTTTGTACAAATATGGCTTTATCAAGTAAATGATTATTGGTATTTCCATAGGAAATACATTACCCCAAAGACAGAAATGGATATTAATTACATGTAAATGTGTATATAAAATATCTATAAACAGTAGGTATAATTGATCAATTTCCATGAGATATTTTATTTCTGGAAAATAGGAGCTTATTGGAATTTCAAAATACTTTTTGTTAATTTGCAAAAGAGCACTTTCGCAGATGGTTGTAGATTTGTACATATGTAATGTTTACATTTTATTTACCAACAAAGGACATCAGTTTAAGTGTTTATTTTTGCTTTGAACTTGTAGGTCAATTTTAAGGTGTATATTTCAATGTTTGCAATGGGAAAAGGTGTTTTCACCTGAAATGCTATAGAAAAATTGTTCTATTTAAAATTTTACAATGGCTCAATAAAGAAAAGGAAAACATCTTTGGGCTTGTTTTAAATATATACTGAGAAGACATATCTGGACGTTTTCTCCCATTTTCTTTCCTCCCAGTAAGGTTTGGATGAAGAATCAGGCATACTTGGTAGACCTATAGGTGGGACTTAAATCAGTCATGTTGAACTAGCTGCGTAGATTTTACCGTATGAGTGAATTTGACTATGTTTGGACCAATCCAGTAAGCCTAAAGTTAGTGGATTTTTTGGTAGTTACAGAAGCTCATATTGGAGCCTGGGAATGCCCTTCCTGACACTGTGGTTTCTGTGGGACTCCGTGGTGTATCGGGTCTCGTTAACATGTCCTTATGTAATGCGGGTATTTCAAAGCTTTGGTACCAACACATGCATACCCACATTTGGAAGCTGTACTCTACCTGCTTGGTTAGAAGGGTGCTCCCCCTTTAAGGAGGAAGTCTACTAGTATACTTGCCTTGATTATTACAGGCTATTGAAGATCATTTAGAAATGGTGGACTAGACTGTAGCTACCAGGCCTCTGACTGAGCATTTGACATGTGTGTTGAACAGCTTGCAGTAGTTCCCAGTGAGTTTCAGTTCTGACAGTGGGTTCTGATGTGCAAAGCTTTCAGTGGTCTGGAAGATCAGGCCATCTTCTGTGATTGTAACGCTCCCCCACATGACACGCAATTCTTGTCTAAAGGCAAAGCCTGGAAGGGTGACATCTGAACTGCTTATTGTGTTTCTATTTATTTGATTGCTTTTAAAGGTTACCACAAATTTTTATTTAGTTGTTAACCAGGTTTTTATAACATTTATTTTGGGATGGAAATGACAGGCACTGCTAAGTATATATAATTTAAAATTAATAACTTACAGTTTTCTAAAACTCTTTTGATTACATATTTGGAATGGTGGAGGAAGGGTCGATTGTTCTACAGTAGGCTATCAAGAGTTCAAATATCAGGTGCAGTGTGTGAAACAGCAAACCGTGGGTACTGTGTCAGGCCTTAGGGTTCATGTGAATCCATTTGGATGTATATGTGCAAAACCCAACCATTAACCCTGAGAGATTTAATTTTTAGGGATCCAATGGAACAAACCTCAAGTGACTCAATGCTGACAACATTTTTTAAAAGCATCTCTTAAAGGCAATGACAGGGAAAAGTCACTTACCAAGAAAATAAGGACAACTTGCAGCAAATGGTATTCCAGTTTCAAATGGCAATTCCAGATTATCTGCTTACTCTCAGCCAAGTACGTAAGCCACACTGAACATTCATTTGTTATATTTATATGCAATCTGTAACCCATATAGGATCTCAGGACAGTTTACATAAAAAACAGAAATCTCTATCAGTCTGCATGTTCCACTGATGTGTTGGAACTGATATGTAAGGATGATGTGAGAGAAGGAAAATTACTGTTATTTTATTTATTTATTTATTTATTTATTAAAACATTTCTATGCCGCCCCTTGCCAAGGCCTCGGGGCGGCTTACAACATCGAATACAAAATACATTAAAACAATGACAATTAAAATGCATACAGTAAAATAAAATAAGCCGCCCTGGCCGAATAAAATTCAATAATATTAACATTTAAAATGCTGCATAAATAAAAAGGTCTTCGCCTGGCACCGAAAAGCAAATAACGACGGCGCCAGGCGGACCTCTCTGGGGAGCGCATTCCATAACTTAGGCACCACCACTGAGAAAGCCCTCCTCCGAGTAGCCACCCTCCTAATTTCCTTCACTGAGGGCTCCCGGAGGAGGGCCTCTCCTGCTGATCTCAAGGGGCGGCTGGGCATATATGGACGTAAGCGCTCCTTCAGGTAACCAGGACCCAAGCCGTTTAGGGCTTTATAGGTCATCACCAACACCTTGAATTGGGCCCGGACTTCAATGGGAAGCCAGTGAAGCTGACGGAGAACTGGAGTCATGTGAGCATAACGTCCAGTTCCCGTCAGCAGCCTGGCAGCTCTATTTTGAACCAATTGAAGTATCCGGACCGTCTTCAAGGGCAGCCCCACGTAGAGCGCGTTACAGAAGTCAAGACAGGAAGTCACCAGTGCATGAGTCACTGTTACTAAGCAGGAAGGTGATAACTGAAGCAAGGATGAAATAAAGAGCTGGGGTGAGGCCACTGAGCCCTTTATAAGGCCAAGGGCCTGAGGACAGAACCCTGTAAATAGGACGTAGAAGAAAATAGGCAGGTTTAAATTGGTTACTGAAGTAAACAAACAAAGGTGGGCTAATACTATATGGTATGGCTGAGTTTGAACACAAGAAGCGTGGCAGAAGAGTGCTGCTTACATCAAAGCTCTGAAGAACACGAACAGTGGGGTTGAGGGCATTGGTTAAACTCTTACTTTTATTATTTATTTTATTTATTTATTTAAAACATTTCTATGCTGCCCCATTCGCCGAAGCCTCGGGGCGGCTCACAACATAAAATATAAAACATTCAAATATACATACAAATTAACAATATAAAATAAGTCGCCCTGGCCAGATAAAATAAGCAAATAATATTAACAATTAAAATGACGTTTGCAGAAGATGGTAGGTAATTGTCTTTTACAGCTGGCCATTCCTTGAAAGGGACAAGGCGATCATGAGCTTGGAAGAAGGGTTGTGCTTCCTATCACATCCTCCCACGAGTTTTGGGAGATGAGTGGTCATCAAGCGAGACGGCTACAAGGCCAAGACAACCTATTGAACTCTTAGAAAGTAGTGCACACGCTTAATAGGCTTATGAATAATAACCGACACACTTCTCACAGGTAATGGGCTCATTAGCATGAACATGGGATGTATGAGCAGGAGGGGGAACATATCGAGTGGTATGATGTAGGCGGATGGAGAAGATTGTGACCAGTGGGAGAAGAGAGGCAGGGTCTGCAAGCCGGGAAAAGGGAATACAAGGCAAGGCCTTGTGGAAACGGCACCTGTGTGGTGGGCACCCACTCTTGCAAGAGCGTATTAAACTAGTGCTGCTTGGTACTTTGCCTCCCGTATCGTCACTACTTGGAATTTCATTCGTAACAATGATACCTGCATGTATGTTCCAGTAAACATGAACCAGAAGTGGAGATGAACAAGCAGCATTAGTTACATCACTTCGTTACCCCAGACAAAAGTGCCTCAGACAAGGAAAATGGTGCTCATGAAAGGCCTTTGTTCCTGCTGAATTCCCCCCCTCCCAAGAGGTTTCAATCAACTTAAGAATATGTTTTCAGCACTTAACAAGAATAGTTAATTTAAGGTTTCATCCTTCCTAATGCTTTGCATAAAGATAACATCTGCATAACAGTGTCTGGCACCAGAGGAGCTTGACCACAGGGACTGGTGCAGCTACACTTGTGCCCGGGAAGCCAAAGAGAAGCAGGCGGAGAGGCAGCAGCAAACAGGCCCAGCATCAATTTTGTTTTTAAAAAAGCACAGTTGCTTGGCCAGCTGCATCATTGCCTATGATCAATTTGTTATGGTTACTTCCAATATATTGGCGTTGATGTGGATGCATGAAAGTGTAGTTGCTGCCCAGAACACCGTTCCTCCCTGCGGTGGCCATGCCCAACTGGAGCCCCTCTAGAGCTGTTTGCATTGTACTGTATTTGTGCGTGGCTGCATCCCAGTTGCAACTAAGGCTGAAGGAGGGAGGGGGGCGGGGGCGGGGGGCATTACCCTTGACTGTCCCAGACTGTAAATTCATCGGGGCAGGGATCCACTCAGCAGGCCATTTCTTGATCTGCCAAATGAACCTGCAGCAGAGAGGACAACAGCAATGACGTATTGTTGTTATGGTTTCTTTCTTTTTTTATTCTTTATAAGCTCTCCAGAGACTTTTAGTAATGGGACGGTATAGAAATAAATAAATAAATAAATAAATAAATAAATAAATAATAAATAAGAAAGAAAGAAAGAAAGAAAGAAAGAAAGAAAGAAAGAAAGAAAGAAAGAAAGAAAGACGTGCTTGGAACAGCATTTGGGGAAGGCCTGTTGTTTTTCCAGGCACTTCAATCCCCCAGTTTCTGCTGTTTTAAATCAGGGCATACCTTATACTCCTTTGCAAAAATTGAACCAGGCTGTCGCTGGGGGAATGCCGAGAGTTGGGGGCCTTCTGCAGAATTTCTCCCCCTAAATCTTCTTGGGAGGGCCTTTCCCCCGCATCTGCAATCTTTGCAACGCGGCTGGGCTGTCGTTCACCCAGCCCCCTCCTGCTCCCGCGGAGAACCCCCCGCTCCAGGATCTTAGTGAACCCCCGGGCAAGGGGGGGGCGGTTCAGTGGCTCCTGAGGGGAACCTCGTTTCCCCTCGCTGCAGCCTCGCCTCGCCCGGCCTGCAGGCCCTCCAGCCGCTGGCATGCTAGCAGCTGTGGTCTCCCGCAGCTCGCGCGATACGCTCTGAGCATGCGCGGCGGTGCCTCGCCGCTCCCCGGCCCCGCCGTTCGCGGCCGCGGCGCGGCAGGGGAAGGGTTTGCGGGCGGACCAACATGGCGGCGGCCAGCAGGTGAGTTCCGCCGCCTTCGTGGGGGCCGAGTCGCGCCGGGGGGGGGGGGCGGTTCTCTAGGTGCGCCCCCGTCTGAGTCCCCGGCCCCGCTCCACGGTTCTGCTAGTCGCTGGTTGTTGCGCCCGACAGCCGAGGCTCTCCGGGGGGTCGCGACGATTCAGGTTCGGTAGAAACGCTCGCAACCCACAGCACGTCCAAAAGATAAAATGCCCGCAAAGCCTGGCAGAAAGGCGAAGGCTTAAAACACGGGAAAGGTGCGCTTCTAGGCATGGGGCGCCGATGGAAAAGCCCACCCTACACCCCCCGGCCGACAGGATGCAACATCAACTTCATGCAGCATGAAGTGAATGCACAAAAAAACTCCCCCCGCGCCCAAACTCAATCAATCAATCAGGCTGGCGCCAATGCCAAGCTGTAAAATGCAGTAAATGGAGAACAGGTCTCTGCCCACCTCCGTGTGACACCCCCTCACATACCTGCATGTCGCCAACAGATCCCCTCTGAGTCTCCTCTTCTCCAGGCTGAAGAGACCCAGTTCCCTCAGTCTCGCCTCATACGGCATCCCCTGCAAACCGGCCACCAGCCTCGTGGCCTTGCGCTGCAGTGGCTCCAACCTGGCTATATCCTTCCTGTAATGAGGGGCCCAACACTGAGCGCAATACTCCAGTTGTGGGTGCACCAGAGTTATATAGAGTGGTAGTAATCTAGAAGCCACACTTCTGGCTATGCAGTCAAGGGTGGCGTTCGCCCTCTTGACCACCGCATCACACTGCTGACCCATGTTTAGCCTGCAGTCAACCAGCACCCCGAGGTTCCTTTCACAAGTGCTGCTCTCCAGCCACTTTTCCGCTAACCTGTACTTATGACACCTATTCCTATTCCCCAAGTGCAAGACCTTGCACTTATTTATTTATTTATTTATTTGGAAAACTTATATGCCGTCCCATTCGCATAAGCCTTGGGGTGGCTTCCAATCCATAAATAAATACAATCAGTAGAAATACATAAAATACTGGAGACATCCTGGCATTTTTTAAATCAATAAATAAAATCAACAATTAAAATAACGTTTAAATAAAAAGATCTTGGCCTGGTGCCGAAAAGCAAATAACTACGGCGCCAGGTGGACCTCTCTGGGGAGTGCATTCCATAAGTTGGGCGCCACCGCAGAGAAAGCCCTCCTCTGAGTACTCACCCTCCTAATATTTTTCATGGAGGGCTCCTGGAGAAGGGCCTCTGCTGCCAATCTCAAGGGGCGGGAGGGCACATATGGACGCAAGCTCTCCTTTAGGTAACCAGGTCCCAAGCCGTTAAGGGCTTTTTAGGTGATAACCAGCACCTTGAATTGGACACCGTCGCCAGGCAGTCGTACTCCAGATAGGGGTGCAGCTGGTGGATCAGCCGAAGCTGGAGGAAAGCGCTCCTCGCCACTGCTGTCACCTGAGCTTCTAGTGAAAGCTCCGGGTCGAGGAGCACTCCCAAGCTGCGAACCTTGTCCCTAAGAGGGAGTGCAACCCCATTCAGAACAAGGTTCAGTTCACCCTCTTTTTTCTACCATTTTTCCCTTTGTATATCTTCACCTCCATTATGTTATCCATCCCTTACAGGTAATAGCACCTCCCTCCCCCCCTCCCACCAGTTCACCCTTGTGGAAGATCACAGCTATATATGTTTTTGTCCTGTTTTTGTCCAAAGTGTTCACACTTTTCCCTTCATTCTTAGATCACTTCTGTTCCTAGTCACTTTTTAAAAGCTCCTTTCCTACATCATTCACCAGCTTGGCCTCCCATTTACATGCTCACCTTCTGGTTGTCCCTGTCCTAGACTGTGAGTGTGGAAAGAGATTATGGTAACCACTCTATTAACTTGCCTAATACACTGGAGGTGGGTGGCCTAGATAGATGTATTTAACTATTGGATGTTCATTCCATTTTATTTTCTTCAGCAGCATTTTCTCCTCCCGCATTTGACAACGAAAAAGGAGCCACCATGCCGACTGTGGTGGTGATGGATGTTTCCCTCTCAATGACTCGGCCAGTCTCCATTGAGGGCTCCGAGGAGTATCAGAGAAAGCATCTAGCAGCTCATGGCCTGACCATGCTGTTTGAGCATATGGCCACAAACTACAAACTGGAATTTACAGCCTTGGTTGTATTTTCATCCCTCTGGGAACTGATGGTTCCCTTCACAAGAGACTACAATACACTCCAGGTGAGAACTCTTAATATAGAAATAAGTTTATGTTACGTTGTTAAATATAACATGCATTTGAGAATGATGGGCTCATTCACAACACTTTCTAAAATCCACCCAAGTTAACTGAGTGCAGTGCGCATCTGGACCTTTCCCTTACCCAACTGACTAGTTTGTAACTTATGTTCGCAGGAAGCTCTGAGTAATATGGATGATTATGACAAAACATGCCTGGAGTCGGCCTTGCTAGGTGTTTGTAATATTGTACAACAGGAGTGGGGTGCTGCCATTCCCTGCCAGGTGAGCTTTCAGAGAACATGCCTGGGTCTGAACATTCGGTGGTGTTCTGTTACTATGAACAAGAACTCAGAACTGGGCAACATACATTCAGAGAGGACAGCTGGCCATCTGTAATTAAGTGAATGCTACACACTTTCTTATTATGTATAGGCAGTCCCTGAGTTGCAAACAAGATTCATTCCTGAGAAAACAGAAATTCATCTTTATGTTGAATCTGTATGTAAGTCTGATCACATATAGTTGGCCCTTCACATTCATGGGAATCAGGGATGCAGGACATCTGTGAAAGTGGAAAAACCACAAATATCGCCCCCCCCCCGCCACCGCCAAATCCACCAGCACCTCCTCTTTGCAGCAAGGAAATGCCAGAGATATTTCCCTCTCCAGGTAGAGGGAAATCTCGCCAGCTTTCCTTCCCCAGAGGCTTCCTTCTCTCCCTTTTTGCTTCCTCTCTCTCTATGTTGATCTTTTGGAGGTCTTCCCTCTCTCCTCTCTCACTTCCTATCTCTCTATAGCCTGGTAATTTTTTAAATTACCAGGCTGTAGGGCAGTTCATTTGTTAAGTACGGCTTGTTTGTAACTCAGGCACTTGTCACTTGTTTGCCTATGCGGTCACAGGAGGAGAATCTGTTAGCATTTTGGTGGCATATGGGAGGCCCAAGCGGCGTGGTAAAGCCCCTGCTTTGCATGCAGAAGGTGCTGGGTTCAACTCCTGGCATCTCCAATCCGGGTTGGGAAAAAATCCTTCAGAAACCTTGGAGAGCCATTGCTGCTGGCCAGCGTACACCATTTTGAGCTTGCTGGACCAGCACTGTGACTCTGTAAGAAAGGCACACTCAGTATGTGCGTCTGCCTAAATAAATCCCTGTGTTTTACAATCAGCTGAGGCTCAGCAGCACATGCAAGCTTCATTTGAGGCACCATTTAAAGCAAAAGGGAATATCTTCAGCTTCAGTTCCCATCTTGGAGATTGCAGGTGGGGGCTGGCGAATGTGGAGAGTCCTGGGCTAGCCAGGGGGTGAGGGGTCAGGCTGGCACTTCCAGGGCTCATGCGCCGGGGTTTGCATCATCGTGTGGAGACCGACATGTTTTGAGTCACTGTTTTGTCGACCTCTTTGCTAGGTTGTCCTTGTCTCGGATGGCAGCTTGGGCATCGGCAGGGGCTCCCTCCGCCAGTCATTAGCTACTCTCAGCCAGAGAGGTGAAAGCAGCCGCTTCCCGCTGCCTTTCCCCTTCCCCTCAAAGCTGTACATCATGTGCATGGCCAATCTGGAGGAGGTGAGTCTTTTCCGGCCGCCTGGTGCCCGCACGTTACTTTCTTTTAATCCGTAATCTGTTTGCACTCTCACGTGCAAATGTGTGGGTGCTCATTCCCTCAGCCCCTCATTCACACTGGCTAAGACCCCTTAGCTGCTTTGCTGTCGGGTGCCGCTGCTGGATGAAATGTGGGACTCAGGTTGCATCCAGGACAGCACAGGCCTGGTTTAGAATGTTGTACCACAGGAGAGCAATTTAAAATGTTCCCTGAAATGTGTTTTGACACCGTCTTGCATCATGTGATGTGGTGTTTCTTTCCTCTTTACAGCTCCAGAACTCAGGTTCGTTAGACTGTCTGGAACGGCTCATAGATTTAAACAATGGGGAAGGGCAGATTTTTACTATTGATGGACCCCTCTGCTTGAAGAATGTACAGTCCATGTTTGGGTGAGTACACAGGTGGTAAGTCCCACTGTCTGAAAGTTGCACTTCACTACAGTTTTCATTACACTTCCTTCTTATGTAGCTGAACTAAGTGTGTGTTGGGGGGGGGGAGATAAATTTGATAAATAAATCATGCAGTCTTTTCCTGAGCCTAATGTTTATTCTGCTGTTCAGTTGTGATTTTTCCCCTTTTTGTTTTCCCACAGTCTCTATCTCCACTAGATCAGTTCTTGAGACAATGGTGGTAATGAATGCCCTAAATAATGATTTTTGGTGCTTTTTGAGGTAGTGGGGGAAACAGACATGGTTACGGCCCGGCTATAGTTAAGAGTACGAAAAGACAAGACAAGGAGACAGCCTGGGGATGGTGTTGGTGGAGTAGGCAGCATATAAATATTCTAGATAGATTAAATAAAAACGGTCTGTACGTCCCAGCATGGTCCAGCCAACGTAGCCTGGAGTTGTAGGCATTTTTACCCTTCTGAGCTTACATCGAATTGTGCCATGAGTCACTTGTTTAGTCTGCGGTTTAGTCACCTGCTTAGTCTTAACTGAAATGAAGAGCATTTGAAAGTGCTTAACTGTGGCTGTATTGGTGCTCTGGTTCACACGTTGGATGCAAAGAACACCCGAGATGAAGTTATTTGATTCTGAGGGAAAGGGCATGATGGAGTGACGTGGCATTCCTAATGGTGTGGGCTTCCCTGTGATTTTTCCCCTCACTTCAGCAGCCAAGCTCAGAAACCTCTGCTGCTCTGCTGCTTGGCAGAGCAGCAGAGGCACAGGTTGGGAGAGAGGCTGAGTGGCCAGGGGACTGGCGAAGGCAAGGCAGGAGCTGGCGGGGGAGCAGGGGACAGGAGCAGCGGAGGGGAAGGGGGCGGGGCCAGAGAGGCCGGCGGGGCCAGGAGGGAGCAGGGGGCCAGGAGCAGCGGAGGGGAAGAGGGCGGGGCCAGAGAGGCCAGCGGGGCCAGGAGGGAGCAGGGGGCGGGGCCACCAGCTGGAGGGGCTGATAAGGCGTCGTCCCTTGTCTGCGGCCCTTGGCTGTGGCCCAGGATGCCCAGAGACACAGAGGTTGGTTGGTTGGTTTGTTTTGTTCGTGCTGTGCTTTGCTTTGTTTTTCTTCCAATTTAAATTTAAGTTTATTTTATCCTTGCATGTGTGTGCGAGTGGGTTTTTGTCTGGGAGAACTGGGCGAGTGAGAGGAACTGCAGGAGAAACCAGGCAGGGGACCAAGGCAAGGTCTCGGAAGGGATCCCGATGGCAGACCAGGAGATGGGCTTGGCGGGTGTCACGGGTGTTGCTGTCCGCTGCGACAGCTGCAACATGTTCACCCTTCTCCCCCAGGAGAGGCAGGGCTACACTTGCCCTCGGTGCCAGTGGGTGGTCCTGCTAGAGGAGGAGGAGAGGGGCCTGAGGGCCGAGAGAGCTCTCCAGGCCCCCCGGGAGCAGCCCCCCTCTGGACAGAGGGTCGAGGGAGAGGCCACGGGAGGAGCAGCCGGGGAGGCACGTCACCCACAGGAGGAGGAGGCCAGCATGGCCTCCTCCTCCTCCTGGCACCAATCTGGAGCTGGGAAACAGGTTCTCTCCACTTGGGGAGGCTGGGGCTGATGAGGCCTCGGGGGACCAGCAGGACCCCCAGCCTGGGACGTCAGGCGGCAAGGGGGCCGCTGCAGGAGAGCCGAGGGCCAGGGCACGGCCGCCCACCAGCACCGGGAAAGTACGGCGGAGGTGATTGTTGTTGGGGACTGCCTGCTGAGGGGCACTGAGGTGGCA